CCTAAAGCAAAACTGAACAAAGCTGAGATTATTTACTAAACTCCTAAACCACTGGCTGTTTTGCATCTCTCCCACACTGGATCTAATTCCTTAAGTAAATAAGCACATATTAAGTTAAAAACCCAAGTCAACGCATGGACCAAATAGTTGTACACAAGGTAGGCTATTCCATGATACACAAAACACAACCATGGGTCAACATTCAAGCCTCAGACTGTCTCAAAGCTTGTTGGCACCTGCATTTTAACATATTTACTGCTGTAGCTGAGAAGATTGATCACAGGAAGCCAAAGCTGCTCAGTAAAAAGAAAAAGAATCAGCTGTTTTCTATGAGCAGTCTGTCAGATAACCAGCCTAATGAMACCATGAGCATTTCTCCTGAGCTCAAGAAGTATTCATGCTGAAGAGGGTACTGGAGTCATTCTAATACTTTGCAGTTGGTTTGGAGGTTAAATAGAAAGTGGCAGAGAAGAAAGGCTCTGCCTTTGTGGTTAGAGAAAAGTTGGAAACATTGCATCAAAATGCACAATTGTGCCCTTGATGAAAATAGACTTAACACTTAGGCTGTATTTTTCACCTCACTAGTGTGCTCCAAATTGAAAACAGAGAGGATGCCTTTCAATGGTATTCTTTAAAAAAAAAAATGACACAACTGTCCCACAGAGAAACCAGACAGACAAAACACAGTCCTGTTTTTGTCAAAATAATTCATAACCTGATGAAATGTCTTGTGTCAGAATCAAAACCAAGAGGCTTCAAATGAAAAGTGCATTTAACTCCTGTCAAAACTGCATAAGCTGCTTGCAGTTTCGGCTCTCTCAATCCTGGGCCCAAATGGATGCAATAGTAGAAGWAAAGGAGCAAAAGGCTCAGCAGACRACAATCTTAATGTCTTTAGGCAGGACAATTCGTCAATTTAAATACACTGATGTTCATGTGAAGGCTTTAGGCTAGCTCATACATAGTAGAATGATGCCACCGGCCATGCCTCTGGCACAGCAAAAGGGCATTCCCAAAAAAGTTGTTTCACCTGCCTGAACACAGGCAGGACTCCACTGGGCAAGCAATTATTCTGTGTGATGACAATAATCTCTTGCATCTTCACGGATTTTTTTTTCTTTTTGCTAGAAAATATGAGAGAAAAAGTGTAGTTTCACATCTGAGATCTTCTTCCTTGCTTTTCTTACCACTTGTGAATATAATAATGCAGAAGAAAAGTGGCAGCCTAATGTGCTTTGCCTCATGAAATACACAATACTCACATAAAAAGTGTTTTAAAATTATACTTGCTGCTATTTCAGCTCTCTTGCACTGGATAACTCCCTGCAAGCCRCAGAGCCACTGACTTTCCTGTGTGACAAACATTTGGCAGGCAATCATGATGGGCAGCACAAAGCAGTATAACCTCAAGGTTGCTCCAGCAGACCCCAAGCATCCAGACAGTTCTGAGCTGCCTCAGACTTCAAGGGAGATGGAARGATCTATAGAATCAAATCGTCTCTGGAACTATATCTTGAGGGGAAATTGAAAGCATGCAGCTTTAAAAAGTACCTTAAACTCTCATTGCCATTTTCTCACATTTCTCATCAGAAAAAGTAAAAAAAAGACCATAAATGTAATATATTTGATAATGTACAAGTTTATCTAATTGCAACACAGCTTTGATATAACTTTGAAATATATCATACTAACAAGTCCTAGAAATGTGGCCAGATGTGAAAATTGGCTCCTATATGAAATTTWCCACCTGATACACTGGGTACAAAATCATGGAACTTACAGTCAGCTGAAAGCTTGAAATATGCTGATACTTTCTGCGTTTCATTTTCCAGGTGTCAGTTTCTGCTCTGCTTCTTATATTAATATTTTTATTATAGAATACTTTTATTGATAGATAAGAAAATAGGATAGATCAAAAAGGAGAAATATTATGAGAATAAAGAACACTACAATAAAAATAACAAAACTGATAATGAATAAATGAAAAATAGTGATGAGATGAACAGCAATAATGAACATTTAACTATTTGCTAGTAATTTAATGCATGTTTAGAAAATGACCCAATTTTTAAGGTTCCCTTTCTGATAGTAGCTTTTGTTGTTATTTTCAAATACAGGCAGATGTCCTCTGATCTCAGTTTTCATCTTTACATTCTGTTTGCAGGCCAAAAGTGCCGGCGTTTTGCAATGCAGCTAAAGCAGCATGTGTATTTGGTATGCTGAAGGCATCTATCATCTTTTGTCTGTAGCTTTTCTGAAAAGTTCATCACCTCCATTCCCTCAACCAATAGCTTTCTTGTAGCAGAACTAATGCCTGTGAGAAAGAGATTGCAGGGTCCTCAGTATGGCATTTACACCAGCTGTATAGAGGAGGGAAGGGGAAACAGGAAAGCAAGGGATGGAAACTGTTGCCAAATAGCTATTTTCCCCATCAAAAGAAACCCAYAATTTCAGGATCAACAGAAGAAGCTAGAGCTGAGCAAGCTAGATCACAGACTGTGGCTTGGGGCAGACGGGAGAAAAGGGAAACAGAACAGATAATTCCTGTGAGAGACAAAAACAAGAGGGCAGACTGTGGCAGAAAAGCAATGTCAGACTGGCAGAGAGAGATGTCTGCAAGGAAGAGCAGTCTTGATAATGGTGAGGCTGAGCTATTTCCATGTATCCATAGCCTTGTTCCTGGCCTCTGGACCAGAGTGTTGCATGCACGTGTAGCGAGAGCCCTGTCTGACATCCTTAAAAAAGCCATGTAGTCTGTCAGGCTCTGTGGTGTGGTGGATAGCCCTCTTTACTCACACAGGCACACAGCAGGCTATTKGTGACCTCCTGACAGTCAGAGGAGCTGTATCAAATGAAATTGCTGATGCTGAAGCCTCTGATGGCCACCATATGTGGATAGAGGAAGTTCCTGATGGTATTGCACACTTTTATTGAAATGGCCATGACAGCAGATTTCCTCAGTGCAGAGCAATTTGCCAGTGAGCATGGAAATCAAGAATAGACACCAGTGGGCAGTAGCTGCTCTTGAGGCACTAGGAAAGAGACTAAGGATCAGGCATGGAAGTGGCAGGACTTGAAGTACACAGAGGTAAGGATGATACCCAGATTTGTTGCAGTGCTTAGCATGGAGAAACTGGAACCACTGTTGTCCTGTGGAGGAGGATGTGGTCYCATGAGTGTTTGTGGATCTCAGTGTCTCTTTTTCAGTGTGGGCTT